CTGTTTCTGCAAAATGTTCAACAGAACTGGGAGACCGTTGAACGGAAAAACGATCACAGAGAGCTGAACAGAATCTCGTTGAATAGAGCGCAGAATTTCCTTCAAAATGATATCACAATGAGGGCAATGCGTGGAGACCTGAACAAGTTTACACGCGTGAATAAGATGGAGAATTCGCTCCGAATAGCCGGACGGCGGAAACCTGATACACGTAGGATATACATCCAACAGAGTGATAGCAGACAACGTAGCTCACCGAACTGAATCGAGTGAGTGCTGACTCGAGGTTGTACGACGCTTTTTGACACAGAAAATTCACTAAAGTCGAGAGAACACAAACTGAGCGACTGCATACGAGAATGACATTCAGCAAATCTTGAACACAATCAAAAAAATAATAATTCGTCATCAATAGAATGTGATTTAGACAATTGAACAAAACTGTACAATAAAAATAATGGTTATGGTGTAAAAGATAACCGGTAAATATCTGTATACCGTACATCAGTAATTAGATAGATTTCTCACAAACTCGCTGCTTTTGATCTGCGCAGGATGTTATTTTGAACGGATCGCTATTTCCATGTACAGGAAGCGATTACTTGACTTGAAATGTTGGTTGATCTGTGCAGTGGCAAAATAAGCATATTGAGAAATCATGGATTGAACATTACCAGAGTCAACAATGAAGTAATCTCTCATTTAGAAACATGAAGACAACTTTTACAGAAAAAATGATCACCAACTGACTCGCAGTCAATCTGTGTTGCTAATTATTCTTAAGTCTTTGTTTGTTCCACAGGTACTTCGCATGTGACCAACATTGTCAAAACCTAGTCAATTCGGTTGCATATCAAAACATAAAAATCGGAAGCTAAGCCATCCGTATGTCGCATATTTATGGAAATTCGGTTGGATTTGTGTTGCGACCTACGCTTGTCGTGCTTGCCTGTGACAGGATAGATCGACTGACGGATGATATCAACGCCGCACTCACGCCATGCGGATTGATTCTACTACAATATTGAGCGGCTCCAGCCAATCAGATACCTGTCGTGTGACGCACGAGCCAGTTGTCGGCCTTCCTTCCTACATGTTGCCCGCTCCTGCTATCTCACCGGACCACGGACCGGCTACATATGTGCCCTCTGCACTAAACATATTGTGTAATTGACTGGGCGCTTTTTTAAATACTTAAATGGACACAACGGTTCGATTATCTCGGGAAATAAAGATTTGATTATTATTAGCAGAACTTACCATTTATTCCCAAAACAACTCGAGGGACCCGTAGATTCCAGCGCATTTCGTTGCAGTTGCT